TTTTTCCCACATGAATAAATAGTTAATATTAAAATATATAAGAGAAAAATAAAAAAGAGAAACCCATCATCGGAGAAACTTTTGCTCCGGCAATGGGCTAGGGATTGGTGGTGGTGGTTTCTGGAAACCTCGACCAACCTGGCTAGGGCTTCGATCAACAAACACTTTAAAGAAACAATAAAATAGGCAGATTTGGAAAGCTGTAATTCTCCAGGGGCTCTAGAGTGGTGTTTGCCATTAGAAAACTCATGAATATAATTATATGAATATTTAAGATTAAAAACTCATGTCTTGAATTGAAAGAAGAAAACCATATATTGCATAAAAAAAAAAAAGAAAATTAAAATTTCAATTATATTAAACGGAGGGTAGAATTTGAAGAAGAAAATTAAATATTCAATCATACTTAATGGAGGGTTGAATTGGAAGATTGAGCATTAAATATGCTTTAAATTGTGACATGATTAGAGTACTATGTCCCGAAATAGAACAGTTTTCAAGTTATCAAATCAAATGACTCACTATTGTTTCAGGCTTCTGACAAAATTGTAGTAATTTGTGACATGATTTGTTTTGATGGTTGTTAATGTTCCATACATGTTTGATGATATTGCAGACATCCCTTCATGGAAGCTGTCCAGTGATCAAAGGCGAGAAATGGGTTGCTACAAAGTGGATTAGAGATCAAGAAGAGTACGACTAAGCATCAAAGATTGCTTTGTAATCATCATAATATATCTGTTTTGACATCACAATTCTATATGATCTTTCAATGAGCACAGTCCTGTCGATGTACAGATTTCGGCAACCATAATAAAGTCAAAAGGGGATACTTGAATTAGTAACAGGGTGAGTTGGGGCTCAACTTCTGTTTGCTATGTATCTTGCTCCATTTTACTTGCTGTACATCTTTGTCTAAAATAGACAAAGCAAACAAAAAGTAAAGCTTAATTTCCATTAGAGTACCGTCAAATTAGATTATATTTATCTAAGATTATACTATAATCTTAGATAATTAAATTAGTTTATAATTTAAAAAATTAAATGTATTGTAATGAATATGAGTATAATATTTTAAAACAAAATTTAAGGAGATAAATCTAATTTGATATCATAAAGTAAAATTTAAGGAAGCAAAATTCAACTTTTTTCAACTAAGCTTGGTTGGCACAGGAGCCGATATCGAAACACCGATTTTGGCAAGATTTAAAATCCCACTACAATGAATTCGATTGCCAAGATCACCACTTAGGTCGGCAAGACTTAAAATATAGAAATAAATTAAGAGAAATCCACTCTCAAAAACTCACTCAACAGAGGAAAATTATAAATTGAAAATTTGATTAAAACTTATCTTTACAACGGAGGGAACATGGCTATTTGTAGGCAAAATCTAACTAAGGTAGTAAATGTAAAGCTAAATACAGTTGGGAGCTAGCCATTTTCGTGGACTTTGGTGGCCATTTTTGCTGACTTGTGGCCATTTTGACAAAGTTGCACTGGCCTATTGTAGTTGGTGGTGCTGTAGCGTAGCTTCTGCATGCTTGCTGCATTTTTCCTGGTGCATTCTCCCCTGGTTAGAGAAAACTCATCCTCAAGTTTGAGATCAATCCTTATGATCCTCATAGTAAGGAAATAGATCAACAACACTGAAAGTAGCAGAAACTCTGTAGTCACCTGGAAGTCTAATCTTGTAGGCACAACCATGATAGAATCCTTGCTTTGTTGAGTTCACGGTAATCCATGAGGGATCTCGTCAGGGACAACATCAGAAAATTCTTCAAGGAGAGATCGAATTTCCTCTGGAAAAGGGGAAGTGGCATCATTCACTTTAGATAATAGTAAGAGACAAGTTATCCTCAATTCGTGATGCAACTTCTGAAAGGTTGATCTAGAGATTAAGGCCTTGTCCTCATCCTTCTTTTCAAGTAAATCTTTAGGTTTCAAGGGAGTGAGCTTGATTTGCACACCATCTTTCACAAACAAGTAGGTGTTGGTATGGCCATCATGGATAGCCTTTCTGTCAAATTGCTAAAGGTGACCAAGTAACAGGTGATAGGCGTCCATGGGAATAACATCACACCACACTTCGTCTTGGTACCTGTTACCAATAGAAAAAGAGACAAGGCAACGTTTGGTTACTTTTACCTCATTTCCTTTTTGTAGCCATTGTAGCTTGTATGGATGGGAAATATCTTTGACTGGCAGTCCTAGCTTCTCAACCATATAACTGGACACAACATTCTCACAACTTCCACTGTCGATGATGACGTTGCAAACTTTCCCTCGAGAAGGACATCTCGTGTGAAAGATGTTATGTTGAAGCCAATCTTCATCCTTGGTTATGGTAGCATGAGGACTTCGACGCACAACTAAAGATTCTCCATGGTCAACTGCGATGAGTTCTTCCTCAAGTTGTGGCTTAGTCTCATCACTATGCTCCTTTTCTACTTCACCATTTGAGACTTCATGAATCTCTTCTCCAATAATGGTGATAATTCTCCTATTGGGACAGTCGGAGGTAATGTGGCCAAATCCTTGACACTTGAAACACTTTCGAGTGTTAGGCTGGGCTGGATAGCTTGAACTAGCTTCCTTCTCAACTTTGGCAGGTGTCTCAGCAACAATGTTTGAGGCTTGGGTCCTTTGGCTACCTTCAAAATCATGTGGTTTTGAAGCAATAATAATATTCTTCTTTGAGATTTGCTTTTCAACCCTCAATGCTAGCCGAATTACATCATTTGAAGTCCAATATTGTTGAAGTTGAACAATTTTGGAAATGTCATAGTCCAATCCTCCAAGATATCGGGCTATGGTTTGCTCTTCTTTTTCTCGAACATCACACTTCATCATTAATTGTTCGAACTCCATAGTATATTCTTCCACAGTCAAAGATTTTTGTTGCAAGTTATGAAATTTAACAAAATTATCTTGGTAGTAACGATCAGGTAAGAACTTACGAGTGAGTTCCCGACACATTTTCTCCAAAGTTCTAATTTTGCTGCAGCCTTCTCTTTCTCGACTACGTTTGAGATTCTCCCACCAAATGGATGCATGTTTTTTCAATTTGATGGCGACGAGCTTCACATGCTTGTCGTCAAGAATATCCTTGAGTTCAAACACACGTTCCACAGTGTGTAACCAATCAATAAATTCATCTTGTTGAAGGCAACCTTCAAAATCTGGAATATCGATTTTGATGCCAAGGTCGGTGGATTTGGGAGCAACATTTTGTTGAGGATGTCGATGACAAACTCTTTCTATTGATGAGGAGCTTTCATTATTCCTTAGGTGATGGAAAGGATTCTCATTGTCAGTATCTTCCTCTGACTTGTGTGGTTCATCTGGTGAGTGTTAAGCTTGTTGACCCTCAAACGCTTCGAGTCTCTCTTGAAGCCTTTGAATTTGTTGATGTAATTCTTCCATCTCTACGTCTCGAACAGCTCGTTGACGAGGAAGATTTTGTCTTCTAGGAGGCATGTTGAGTTTAGGTTGGTAAAGTGGCCTTTTTGGAAAGATAGTTTTAGGAGTTGGGGGTAATTTGAAATCTGTAAAAGTATGGGGGCCAATCTATAAGGTCAAAATAAGTTGAGGGATTTTATGACGTGGCAACAGATGAGGCTGTGGTGATGACATGGACTAGATGACGTGGTAAATATATGATGTGGTGGTGACATGGCGATGATGTGGCCTTGACGTAGTGATGAGGTGGCAACATCGGGCAATGACATGGTGATGAGGTGGCGTGATGAAGTGGCAGTGTGAAGGTTGAAGAAGATCAGTGCGTGAATTTCACGTGAGTTGCAGTGGTGCGAGTGACCGGCGCATGAGACAACAGTCGTTGAGCGTGGAGGCGCGTGAGACACTTTTTGATGGCCGGGTTTTCACCAGAACGCTCATAATGATGTGCAGACTTCAAATATATTGACTCTAATACCAAATGGCGCAAGAGCGGATACCAAAACACCGATTTTGGCGATATTTAAAATCCCACTACGATGAATTCAATTACCAGGATCATCACTTAAGTTGGCAAGACCTAAGATACAGGGATAAATTGAGGGAAATCCACTCTCAAAAATTCATTCAACATAGGAGAATTATAAACTGAAATTTTGATTAAAACTTATCTTTACGACGGAGGGAACATGGCTATTTATAGGCAAAATCTAACTAAGGTAATAAATGTAAAGCTAAATACAGTTGGGAGCTAGCCATTTTCGTGGACTTTGGTGGCCATTTTTGTTGACTTGTGGCCATTTTGACAAAGTTGCAGCAGCTTATTGTAGTTGGTGGTGCTGCAGAGTAGCTTCTGCATGCTTGTTGCATTTTTCCTGGTGCATTGGCTCCGCTTAGAGAGTTGAGCCTAGTCATTGTGTCCCTTCCATTGTTGCTTGTGTTTAAGTTTTATTTTATTTTGAGAAAAGAACGACGGAATAGAATGGCATTGTACATGCTCTAACTACACGTGATTTTAGCTTTCTCTTAGATGGTATTTTTGAAGTCCCAGATGAAGAAAGAATAAAAGTATGGATGTTGCTACAAAGCAGATTAGAGATCAAGAACAGATCCAAACTATGGTATCAAAGATTACCTTATTTGTGATAGTCATTTATATCCAATTGAGATGATAGTTGTTCTTCTACATCTCTATCGTGTGCGGACAAACTAAAAGGATTTAGAAGGCAACAAAATGTCTAAGTATATATTGCTAGATGATGAGGGTGGCCATGACACCATGACACTAAGGCCATGTACCTCCATTCCTGTGCACTCATGCTGTTCAACTTTAAGATAGTTTAAGTTTCATTTGAGATTGAGAGTGCTGTGCAATGTTATGGTTGTATGTTTTCTTTGTCTTTTTAATTACTATCTCAAAAGTATAAAAAATTAATTAAAATAAAAATTAAATCTAATTTATATATTTTTAAAATATTAAAATATAAAAAAAACTACGATGGTAATTTACCACTCCCAAACAAAGCCTTAATTTATGAAACATGTGATACTTGTCTTTTCCTAAATTTTGACTTTGTTGTAAAGATCCTTTGTAGACACAAATTTATATTTTTAAGAAAAACGGTCATTTACTTTTTGTAAGTTATAAGAGTATACTTTGAATTTCAATAAAATGTCCTAGTGTTTTGCTTTTCGTTCCTGTTTTTCATTTTTTTCTCTGTGAACCATACACTAGATTAATAATGCCATAGATTAGGGATTGTTCACTTTGCTGGGATGAAGGACTTCTTTGCAAATTCCTTGAGTTTAGGTGCAAGTCTTTCATTTCCCAAAAACAAATTATACATGGGGCCTTTTACTCTTAATCCATGACAACCGTATATAAAACGTAGATACAGCACTCACCTTTCAACAACAAGGTAATGGCACACTAACAGAAACAAAAAGAACAAAGGAGAAGTGCAAAAATAACCATAAAATAGCAGTTATGGCTGAGTTTCCTCATGTCAATAGTCCAGACAAGGAAAAAAAAATTATAGTAGCTGAAGTAGGCATGGCCAATAAACATTAACAAGACGTCAAATAAAGGTAATGTCAGTTGGAATAGGTTATTGTTAAGAGCATATACTCTGCTTGTCCACAATCCACATACTAGAACAAAAACTTCAGAAGAAGAAACTCAGTTTCCTCATTTATATATATATATATATATATCAAAAATTTAGAAAATGAAGAAAAAATAGCAGCTGAAGTAATAGTTTTGCTATGATGTGTTGGCGACCACTTAAAGATTTTTTCAAAATAATGAAAAATCAAGTGTGAAAAATATATAAAAAAAAAAGAGTCGCCACTCGTCCAAATTATAAGGTGGGACAAGTCACTTAAAACGGGTCTGTACAAAGATCGAGATTCGGGGGTTCGGTTAGGAGTGAGGAAGGGCATACGCACACCTCATAATCCTCCATTTAAACACGGTTGCATACTTTAAAATTGAGATTTTAATTCAACTTATCGATTATCTATGTTAAAAAATATATATATTATTTTTTTAATTTTTTTTTTTTTAAATGAATCAACCAAATTGAGACTTTTTTAATTTTTGGACTAAAATGGACTAAATCAAAGACATGCATGCACAATAACATAAACAAGAAGTTAAAGGACTAACTTGATTAAATTCACGAACATAGAGTACTGATTTGAAAAAAAGAGTTGACCCATGGACAAGATTGTTTAATCTTGAAAGTTCTGGGTAAAATTGAAACAAGGAAAGATAATTTTGCCTTTTAGCAAGATTAAAGGAAATTAAAGACTTAAATTAATTAACTAAGATAATTGATTTAATTAAATGATCAATTTATCGTTAATTAAAATTAATTAAAATTAATTAATCATATTTATAGATCTTTTTAATCAAGATAATTAAATAATATAATCATCTTAAATTAAGATCAATAAAAATGATTAATTTATTTTAATTAAAGTTAATTAATTTTATTAATCATAAACTAAATTAATTATCCTAATTAATTAATCCTAATTAATTAATCCTTTTTATTTATATTATATCATTTTTTACTTTTTTTTTGTTTTAGTTTTTTTTTTACTGGACTGGGTCGGGCTGACCCAATCCAGAAACACAATCCGAGCATGAAAATGAACAAAAGAAGATTAAACGTGCAAACAACATGAGGAAACTAGGGTTCATCTAGGAAAGTTTTGCAGAAAACATGCATCCCATTTCGAACACAGCAAGTATTCATTTCATACCAGTAAATCTACCATTCATTTCTCAACAGATACACATAAATTTCAGCATTTCAATCACTAAACAACACAAAGCATCAAAGGAAGAAAATATAAAATCTACAGCGGAGAATTCAGGAAAGGAACGGATCAAGATCCAAACAGAGGGATCCCACCCACGGGATCAAATTCTGTTCATCACCTTCACCACCCCTCCCGAATCCTCTCAGTTCCAGTAATTTACCTAAGACAACAGAAACCCAGAAAATGCACGATCTCCTTCGGTGAATTCTGGACGCTCAGCAGTCCCCTTTCTCTTGCTGCCACCTCCGACAATACTCAAACTCAGACCAAAAGAATCCCAGAATCAACCAAGGAAAAAAAAAAAATCAAATCCCCTAAAATCAAACAGCCAAAATCAATCTCCAAGCCCCCCTATCAACCAAGAACACCCTCTATTTATACCCACACTTGCAGAAAACGAGACAAGCAGAACGGACGATCAGAGCAGGTACAAGATCGGGTTGCAAGATTGGGTTGCAGCGACACAGAGGATCGGGCTGCAACAGGGGCGCAGGCGGGTAATGAGTGCGGGATCGGCTGGCGATTGGTTCGGGGAAGAGCCGGGGTGATGAGTGCAGATCGGCGCAGCGAAGCAGGAAGCAAACAGGGGGGTAATGAGTGCAGGGGATGCAGGAGTGCATGATTGCACGAAATCTGGGCGCAGAGGAGATATCTGGGGGCAGAAGGCACGGTCAAGCGTAGGAGCAAGGCTCGGATGCAAGGCAGGGGATCTGTGGCAGAGCTGGGGATTGATGCAGAGGGGAGAGGAAGCAGGAGATTGGTGCAGAGGAGGGTGGAGGCTGATTCGGTGCAGAGGGGGTGGAAGCTGATTCGGTGCAGAGGGAGGTGGAGCGGGTTTGGTGCACAGGAGGGGTAGAGTGCATGATTTGGTGCGGAGGAAGGCTAGAGTGCAGAGTTGGTGATTGGGCGCGGAGAGCAGAGGGAGCTGGTTCGCGCAAAAAGGGGGATAGGGGCACGATGGCCGGCATGAGGGGGTGATGATGATGGCTGGGCATGTGGTTGCCGGCGGGTTTGGGGGGAGAGAAGGAAAGGAGAAAACCGGGGGCGGGAAAGGAGGAAGAAGGCTCCAGAAATATATATTTTTTTATTTCCCTTTTCTTTTTTCTTTTTGTTAAATGGGTTTTGTTTTTGGGTTTGGGTTTTGTTTTGGTGGGTTTTGGATTTGGGTAATTTTTGGTTTTGGGATTTTGGGCTTGGGTAGTTGGTAGGCTTTGGGTTTTGGGTAATTGGGTTTGATGGGTTTTGGGCTAGCCTTTGCATTTCACCCCTCCAACTTTCCATTTCTTCAATTGAGTCCTTTCTCTCATCTTCTTTTCCAATCTTCTTCGTAAAATTTCCTTTTTGCCCCCTCCATTTTTTGAATGAACCTAACAAGTAAAACAAAGACAAAATATATTAGTTAAAATAAAAATAAAAATGAAATAAAATTTTATTAAAATTTGAGTTATGACATGATGTATAAATCTATAGATGAAAATCCAAAAAATTGCCATATCTCCTTACATTGATAAACACATGCAATATTCAAAAACACTGGCATTCTCTTTTTGCCTAAAGAGAATAAGTGAAGATATTCAAAAAATTGCACTAAGAAGAACATTATACAAGAATTCCAAGCAATTTGCAAATTGGCCAAGTTTAGTTGCAAGACTTTCATTTCCAATCACTAATTATGCATACCTTGGTTCCCTAACTTTTTCTCTCTCTGTGGGTGATAACGGCCTAGAGTGAGAAAAAGTAACCAGCCATTCCTCGTTGGTGCTTTCCCACCGAAATTCACCCAGAATTCCAAGTTCTCATCCACCAATGAATCCTCTCGCTTTTCCTGTGCTTCACCTCGCCCCACTTCTTGATAGTTTCCCACCCCTAAAATCAGTGAAACAACTTTGCTCCAAGCTTAGTGCAGTAGTTGCGAGTATTAAAGATGCTTAGCGCACCCAATTCCCTACCTCAGCTCCGATTTTTGAGTCGTTGGTGGTGTCGCCCACTTGCCCAGTCACCGATTCTACAGTCGCACTTAAAGATTCTCTCGAGGCCTGGCTTTCATGGGCTGATATAATCGCGATTGGTGTTGAGAAAGGTGCTTTTTCTTACCATCCTCCTGAGATACATGATGGCAAATTAGTGGTTGAGCCACCTAGATCTATACATGAAGAAGGCCTTAAATCTTGGGAAGATTGTTTAGTGGGTTCTTTTATTGGTAACTCATCACCTAACTAT